AATGATTGACCGATTGATTCAATGATTGACCGATCGATTCAATGATTAATAGACTGGTTACTTGATTGACTGACAGTTTGATTGACTGTGGGATTGTCTGATTGATAGATCGATTGATTGATTAATTGAATGACCAAATGATTGATGGAATTATTACCTGATTGGTTGGATAGATTGATTCAATGATTGATTGATTGACTGACTGACTAATTAAATGAGTGAGGTATTGACTGCCTGATTGATCGATTGGTTGATCGAATGTCCAAATGATTGATTGATGCAATGATTGATTGTTTGATTGACTAATTAACAAAATGAGGAATTGACTGCCTAATTGATCGATTGAATGATTGACTGATTGCATGATTTGTAATGGATGGACTGTTGATTAATACATTGAAATAGTTTTTTGTAAAATCGCACGATTTATGAAACTGACTGAGCTAATGAATGATTAAGAACTTTACAACCAATTACGATTTATAAGTACTTACTGAAGGGGGCTCAATAGACAATTACCCTCCACACCTGTCGACGATCTAATAGGAAAGAAAGAAAACTGAACATTAATAAWGACAGAACAAAATGCGCACCAAAACATGCTAAAAAAAGGATGAAATCGTTAATGAAAAMATAAATGAATGGATGCATAAATGAATAAATGATTGAATGGGAATGATAGTTTTATAAGTCACTAAATAACATCATGAAAACAACGAAAAAAATACAGAAAGCAGTCCTAATAGCCCAGATACAGATTCAATCAWAGTGCTAAGCAAGAGAACTAATCAATATTTAGCAAAGAAAATGGAAAAGGAAACAAATTAAACATTCGTCTACCACACTGTGTGTGGCAAAATCGTCATTTCAATGAAACACTTAAGTTAAGAGCAATATGAATTGAAGTGCCAAACTAATTAACAGAAGTAAAGTAAAATCACTTTCAATTGAAAACTCCGATCTCATATATTCCTTTGAAGTGTTATCACTCTACCATTTTTATATCAATGTAATATCAAGTAAAAAACGTATATCAATCATACTCTTAGATTGAGCTATTTTTGCGTTATGAGCTTTTTTGAAATTGGTATAGTTTTGAGGATAATTACAAAATCTATATATATTTACAAATGTAATCACAAGATTAACTACTGCTTATATTTATGTTTAACAAATAATCGCGAAAAAAKTCAAAACAAACTAGAAAACATGATGGRCGAAGGGCGTTATAACACAACAAAACATCAGTTTCCTTACATCTGTGTGGTTGGAATTAATCCCATCACATTGCGATATCAATTTGAGTTTATTCCATCTCGTTGGCTTTGATCCCTTAATTTACACGACTTTATAAACACCGGATAAGTCAAATTCTTAGTCGATTCCTTTTGATTGGTGGCTTATGATTTCTAATACAATCTAATTGTGCTTTCAGCGAAGAGCCCACACACCTGCGTCAGAAGGCTACAGACCCGCCTTGGTTCTACTGCAGATGTAAGGCATATAATTGCCGCGATAGATATGAAAGTCATTTAAGAACCGTTGAAGAAATACACAGAAAAACTAATCTTCAAGAAGCGAAGCACAGTTGTCTGTGTTGTGAATAAAAAGATCGCTAAAATGAACACAGTCAACACGACGAAAATCGATTATGCCATGGTCACACCGGTGTGGATTGTCCAAGTGACATTATATTGTATTATAGTGTTCATAGGTAGTATTGGCAATGGTATTATATGCTGGAACGTCTGTAAAAACAACCAACGTCGCATCAGTGAATATTTGGTCGCGAACCTTGCGTTTACGGATCTTGGTACGTGTTTAGTAAGCATACCGTTTGACTTTGTGGAGCGCGTTACTGGAGATTTCCCTTTCGGCTCCATCATGTGTTATATGGTATATCCACTGCAGACTGTTCTGATGGCCGTCTCTGTTATTACATTGTTGTGTATGAGTTTTGAACGCTACCGCATCGTAATGGCTCCACTAAGACCACGTATGACTGGAAAAATGGCTAAAATTTGTATCGCGATCGCATGGGCCGTTCCCGTCATTGTCATCACACCTTACGCGTTAGTTTTACGTGTGGAAGGAAAACAATGCCTTGAAAGTTGGCCTGAAGATTGGTACGTTAAAGTCTTTACGTTATCTGTGTTCATACTGTTCTTTGTAATCCCGCTATTTGCTATCGGTACGTCGTACATACGCGCGGGACGTAAGCTTCACAGTGAACTCGAACGTTTTAAAGACATGGGAGACACGCATAGCCGTACGCATACGCTTTACGCGCGTAAACGAGCCCTCCAGAAACTTCAAGTTACGAAAATGTTTATTCTTGCGTTTGTGGTTTTTACGATTTGTATGTTTCCTAATCACGTCATCTGGTTATGGCACGATTTTGGTAGCGGACGTACCAACGCTCATTTTAAAGAGATTCTTGTGTTCAGTAACATCTTAACGTACGTGAACAGCGCTATCGATCCGTTTATCTTCCGTCAAATCAGTATACGTGTTGGGTCAACGGTACGCATGCCTAAAATCTTCGGCGAGAATCGAGACTGTAACTGTTGTTGCTTACTAGAGTACGGCGTTAGGATCAATAATCTTGTTGCGGAACGCCAGAACGCGATACGGAAAAAGAAAAAACGTARTACAAAACGTGAGTCRGCCAAGTCGCAAAGGGTGAGGTTTGCACCAACAGCAAAAGAACCAATGATATTCATCTCTGCTGTGTAGTCATGSTAACTGTGCAAACAATGGCAACAACTCGTGTTGTTATAGCAACTATAATTGTGAGAGAGTTGTAGTCATGGAAACTGTACATATGACAACTGTGGTCATGGTAACTGTGGTCATGGYAATGATACCATGCAATGCGTGATCTTAAATAAAAGCGTTCAGGATAATGGATATCAGATGGTATTAAACTGTTTTAAAGGCAAATTATAATAAATTTAGATTTAATACACAATTGACTATGAAGCAATGAGATCGAAGGACAAAAACTCATAGTCCACTAGACCGACAAATTTTTCATTTGCTAATAAGAAAAAAAAAGCTGTTCTCGACTTCTCTTTGCCTTTCTCCACAGTGACAATAAACTATCACAAATAAACCACAGTTAAATAGCCAATCAGAATGCTCGATTCGTTATAATCTACAATTTGATGGATATTGGGTAATTTCCAATACTAGTTCAGGTACCGAAAACAAGCAGTCATTCTAATCGCCCTTAATCWGATTAGTACCTTAACGCAAGAAAAGCCTTKTAGGTTAGCGTAGWATCGTTACRAAKYGTTTRGTATTTATCAGTTCTGCGTAGCGTTAACGTTACGTTACGAACAAACAAGAACACGTGCAGTTATTCYGCGGTGTTTGTAGCGTAATAAGMTTCATATTACGTGGCGAAATGACTGCGTTAAAATTACCTCATTTTGCAAAGGCGAAGTTTTTTCAAAATCAAATTAAAGCTTTAAAAAGAACTAGTCGCTGCCCTTGATCTTCAGAAGTAGGAAAAAACATTAGATTTGATGATAGTACGGAAGTCTCGCGGCGATTATACGTTGGTATTGTTTACATTTTGAATGTAAATTTTGCCGAGTTAAAGTAAATGGTTTATCGGGAGACTGCGGAAGTATTCATTTTCTCACCAACTGAGAAAAATTCAAAATATAGATATTAATAATGAAAAGAAATAAAAAAATTCTTTTAAGAATTAAGACAACGTTTGATTGTTTTGAGAGGTAAAAAACATAAATGGGGTCATTTAACGAGTACGGAAAATAGCATCACTGACACCTATTTACTACTAATAATAATACAGTCGAACCTCTATTAAC